AACTACATCTTTCATGATGTCCCTGCCATCATTCTTTGGGAATTATGGAAAAGGAGAAATAAGGTGCGACATGGAGGAAATATGTCAAATAGTTGATTAATTTATCAAATTATGCATACTTTGATTTTACTTATAAAGACAAGGAGAAGAAACAGTAAATATGTCCCATACAATTGGAGGATAGTGGTGGACGCTCTAAATAACTATAATCCTAAAGTCAAGGTAACCAAGGTAATTTGGAAGCCACCTGACACTGGATGGATTAAAGTTAATACGATGGTGCCTCAAAAGGAAACCCAGGAAGAAGCTCCTGGGGTTTCTGTGTAAGAGATGAAAAGGGGGATATTGTGCATGCCCAAGCTCAAGACATAAATGATTTGGCCTGTACAAATATACAAGCAGAAGCTATGGCTATTTTACATGCCTTAAATTTCATAAAGACAACACAGATGGATAGAGTGATGATTGAAACCGATGAAAAACATTGTAGAAAAAAGCTGGAAGGTTCCATGGTGAGTTGCTACTATTTTAGAGGAAATCTGGAGACTAATGCAAGGAAGAACAATGATTATTAAGCATATCCTTAGAGAAGGAAATAAATTGGCAAATCATCTGGCCAATTTAGCCTTGGAAAAAGGAAACATTTGTGTGAGCACTTTTCAAGAGATGGAATCTGAAGGAAGGAAGAAATATAATCAATAGTGACAAGTTGATGATGCCCTACCTGAGAATTCGACTATGCCAAAGATGAAAATAAGATTGGAGAAGAGGGGAAATGAAGATCCTCAAGTGCAAATCCTATGGGAGGAGAGCTATGGGATTTCTTTTTTGACTAACTGTTTGTACATTTTTGCAGGTAAACTACATAAGCAACACACAAAGAAAAAATAACATAAATAAATCAAGGAGTGCTAAACAATCAGCAAAAGAAACATATTGAGCCAAAGCAGCATATTGAGCCAAATGAAGATTCTCAGATGCAAAAGGAGAGACACCAAAGGATACTCACACAAATTGAAACTTTGCTTGATACATTGAAAGTTGGAAAGTGGTGGTATCAGCATCCTTGGATGCTCCATCCACTGTCCAAAATAGATGTAAAACAGCAAAAGTACCAAACACCAATGTTTTCCAAAGTAATAACTAAGACATCGATGAAGATGAATAACAAAGGAAAAAAAAAAAAAAGTTATTCAAATTCAAGTCCAAAAAGAGGAGAAATATGAAGAATTTGTCTATGAATCATCTGTCTATCTATGCAAAAACTCAACCAACTGTGAATAGACATCAAGAAAAAATTATACAAATGAGGAAAACAAGAAAGGTATGCACATCTTGAAACTATACTGAATACGTTGAAATTTGGACAGTGGTGGTATCAACATCTTCGGAAGCTCAACCCAATGCTCAAAATTCAATGGAAAACAGTAAAGTATGAAGAATACCAGTAGTTCCCAAATAGAAGTCAGAAAAAAGTGACCGTTGAAGAATGATACAACTCGATTAGGTGCAACGAATTCAAGAATAACAAGCATATGAGCAAAATGTGGACACAAACCAATGAGATAAATAGGAGAAAAAAAAGAATACCGACCTTAAAGCGCAAACACATGGCAGGACCAAATTAGAATAGAGACCGCTTTCAACAAAAGCCACCACCAGATCTGGGCACCAAGAAAACACACATACAAGAGATCTTTGAGGAACAAAACAAGAAGAAGGAGAAAATGGGAAGATGAACAGGAAAACAAGGAAAATATCAAGAAGCTGGAAGGAGAATACAAAAATTATACCTTAGCTGAATGGAGGAAATGGATCGATGCATTGAAGCTTGAAAAGTTGGCTAACAAAATGAAGAAGTAGCTCTGAATTTTCCAATTTCAATTTGGAAACATACTTAACTTTTGTTTCTCCTGGTTTTTTAACTATACTTTAGATTGATGTACAGACCTTCTATTTTCTTTTGTTTTGATTATTTAATAAAAGTCAATGGGACCTGGACCCACTGATCTTAATTTTTTATTTTATTTCTAAAAAAAAGATACTTGACAAATATATTTGCCAAAATATATATAACCAAAAACTACTTTTCAAAATTTTTTCAAGTTTTCCCCAAGTTTTTTGGGGCCGAACAGATCCTTAAACTATTTAGGGAAAAAGGGCTCACGCACGCCATTTGGGGTGAGTGGAGGAAATCATTGAAACACTGATAGAGTTTTTACCCGCTAAAATAGACATTAGTTTGGATATATTTATCAGGTATCATGTGATCAGGAGAAAATCTACGTGACAGGTAGGGAATTCAAACTCCTCAGTCAAAAATTATATTGTATATATAGAATTGAATTTAAATACTATACATATATAACATTTAATGAACCGCTCAACATAGTTGAAAAGCGTAGCTCAATGATTTAGGGGGTTCAATCTGTTATTGAGGTTGCATGTTTAAAATTTGCTCATACCTAGTTTTTAATTTTTCTGTCCTTTCTCACTCTTTTTGTATTATTAAATAAGCAATTGTTTGTCCTTTTCAGCCCCCTTTTAGTGGATATTTGGACCTGCAATCGACATAAACTAGTTAGAATATTCTTTGTTTAAGTTTAACCAAATATATATAGAGAGAGAGAATTTTTACATAATTAGAATTAAAAAATATTTTGATTCTTTCTTTCGATGTTCTCAATACTAGTTTGAAGTCTTAGCAAAATTTCTATAATTGCTATTGCTTTGCAATATCAATACATTTCTCAGCCGCAATAAAAAAAATAACACAATGCATATCTTTTTTTGTACGTCCTATTTTACATTTGTTCAAAATATTTTCATATTTGACTAGTTTTACATATACAAGATTCTTGTATTTTGTCAATTTTTGCAATTTATTTTATAGAGTTATATAAGTCGTTCTTTTCGGCCAATATTTTTATCATTCAACATATTAATATTGATGTTTGTTCAATATTTTTTTATGGTTTAAGCACTAAATATATATTATAATATTAATAATTCAATCCCTACACCTTTTAAAATAAAGTAGGACATTGTAAAATGAAAGAAAAAAAAACACGATATCTTTTAAGAAGGATGTGGTGGTACACAACCAAAATGGAAAGAATGTTAAAAGGGCATGATAACGCGGGTAAAATTTAGCGGACGCCTCACTTTGCTTTTCATTCTAAAAAATTTCCACATTTAGTTTTTTTATAATTTGAACCCTGAATAAAAATTCTTAATCCGTCACTATATGTGACTGTATCTGGGATACACTGTCTTTGTCCCTCTCTCCTTCCTCTCATTTTTTGTATATGTGTTTCATAAAATTTCATATATTTGTGCATCTAGTATTAAATTCTATGAATATATCTAGTAGACTATGAAAGCATGTATCTGACTAAGAAGATGAAGAAGAAAAAGAGGAGATACACATATGTATCTCTTCAAAATATCTAGGGTAAATGTATATAGATTCATACTTGTTAGCCCACAGATGAACATATGCATCTCTTCAAAATATCTAGTGTATATGTGCATAGATACATACTTGTCAAGCCATTTTACCTTAACTATGATGAGACCCACCTCAAAAAAACTGAAACCCGCTTAATTTCCCTCGAATTTCCCTCTTGCCCAAGAATTCACACATCAAAGACACATTGTACATTCCCTTTTCTCTTTACTCATTTTCCCAAAAGAAGATAGATGAGAGAGAAAAAAAATTCAATTAGGAAGATAAAAATCCTAGAATGATTTTGTAATATTTTAAACGGAAAATGGTCAAAAAGAAAATATGCATAATTGAGCAAAAATACCTTTTAAGTTTTCTTTTATCATATGTTCTTTATATTTCTTTTAAATATTTTAAGTTGTTAATTATTGCGATTTATAATGTCTATTACATAATTTCCAAATATATCAATTTTATCTCAAAAATTTCTAAGTTCAAATTTACTATTAAAATTTAAAATCTTAAATTTCAATTATATCACATAAATTAAAATAATAAAATATTTATTTATTTTATTTTTTAAAAAAGAGCAATTCTCACCTTGCAATGCATATCCCAACTTTAGGTATTTATACCAACAAAATCTTTCACATTGCATATCCCAAACCCAAACTCGTTGATACATCCACGATTCGCAAAATAAAAAAAGATTTTTTAAAAAAAAATAGGGACTCGTTCAAGTTTAATCTATTTAGGGAAAAAGGGCCAACACACGCAGTTTGGGGTGAGTGGAGGAAATCGTTGAAACACTGATAAATTTTTTAAAATATTTTTAAAGAAAAACATTTTGAATGACAAAGTAAGATACAATATAAAATTGTTTTAAAAATATAGAATAAAATATAAAATATAAAATATAAATATTAGATAATAAACAAAATAACATGAGAAAAAAACAAAAAAGTAATAATATGATCATAAAAAATCACTAGTTACATAAAAAGTGTTGTTACTTAATAATTAATTTTAAAGATACTATATAATAAAATTTAAGTAACAATCACATAAATATTTAAACAACAAAATAATACGATACAATAGATAACTTAGTCCTTTCTTTTAATTAAATGATATAATAAAAAATATTTATTTTTCTTATATTCCATTATGTTGATTTTTTCTCTATTGTATCTTTGTTATTGTTGTTCTTAATTTATAATAAAAAGAGCAGCATATCTTTTATAGGGGGAAAATATACTAAAAACTCAAAAGGACAATGTCATTTTCAAAAGTATTTTCCAACAAAGTGCTTGTACTTTTCACAAGTTATTCTTTTCTAAATTTCTATATATAAATAAATGTATAGAAAAATAAACAAACATCAAATAAAGAACATGTAATTAATCTTTTGATATATATATATATATATATATATATATATAAAACCATAAGAAAGCTCTTTCAAGAAAACTTCCTTGCAATAAGGATCTAATTACTTCTATGTTTATAGATAAATGAAAATAATAAATTCTGAATCAGCCTCTGAGCTATAGTCATCCCACTATTGGCTCTTCCACATCATCATAGAACTTGAGCCACTTCTTGGTTTTACAAAACTTCATAAAAAAGTACCATCCAATTCCTCCAACAGTCATCAATCCACTTATAAGAAACACAATCTTAGTTGCAATAGCCATTATAAACACCAAAAATACACTAGGAATCAAGCACATAACAACCAATCCTGGCATCTTCATTGGTACTTTATATGGTCTATTGACCAATGGATACTTCCTTCTCAACCAAAGAAAAGATGCTAATTCCAAAAACATACCTAAACTATACAAGAAATTAGCTGAAGATATTATATCAGTAAAGTTCATATAAGACATACTTAATGAAATTGCTGTTGATAATAATATCCCAACCCATGGTGTGTTAAACCATTTTGACCTTAATGCAAAAAATTTAGGCAAAAATGCTAATTCAGCCATACCCAAAAGCTGAAAAGAACAAGTACTTAACTGAGCTTCAAATAATCCAATTGATGATAGTATAGCTCCAATTTCAATCCAAAATTTCAACCATTTACCAGAAATCATCTCCGCCGCGTTCGCCATAAACCCTGTTTCCCATTCCCTTTGATCAACTGATACTGCTCCAGTAACAGCCATGAGTGGGATTAAATAACCAAAACAAGTTAAGATTACTGATGAAAAAAGTGCTTTAGGAAAAGTTTTTTTCGGGTTTTCAACTTCACCAACCAAAGTACTCACATTATCCCAAAAATTTAAATTCCAAAACAATGAATTGAAGAACATATTCCAATCCTTCTTCACCCCTTTTTGCCCTAAACTAATCCATCTATGAGGCTGAATCTTCGGAATCGCAATCAACGACATTATAATGAAAGGTGCAAGTGACACAATCCCAAGAACAACAGCAACATAACCCACAATAGCTAATCCAGTATAATTCAAAAACGATAACAACAATGTAGATACCAAAATAGCCATATATCTCGGAACCCCAGAACTGAAAATTGGGAAAAGCTTTTCCATATAACTAATACACAAAACAGGAAAAGATGCAATGTTGATAACACCGCTCAGAAATTTCCATGTACCCATAAGTGAACCCCAAAAGGGGCCAAAAGCTGTGTAAGCCCATGTAACAAAACCGCCATTACCAGGGAAAGTAGTTGATAATTCAGCAGTAATTAAAGCTTCAGGTACACTCCAAATAAAAGGGAAAATGAGAAAACCAAGAATTGCAAAAAGAGGGCCAGCAGATTGAACGGCTGGTTCTTCACCATAAGGGCCGCCAGCAACTTCAAAGTAGATGAGGAAGATGAGAGGGATTAGGCTAAGTTTTTTACTCGTTTTGACAGTTTTTGCGGTGGTTATGGGGATTTCTTCGGAATTTTCAGCCATGGTGGAAACTGGGGTTTGCTTCTCCTCTGCCATTGCGATTGTTTTTTTTAAGGAGGATTCTGAATGTAAATACAATGGGATTACGAATAAATATAAGGATTTGCAGTTAATCTTATCTAATTATGTACTTATCTTTTATATTAGACCAAAATATTAACTTTTATAACTTTTTTAGGTAAAGGAGTCTTTTAAGTTTGAAAGGAATGAGTTTGTGATAATATTTTAATTAACTTGTATAATTTGATGTTTAACATTATGTGCAATTCTTCTTATCACCCAACCTGACAAATATCTTTTTGATACTAATTGTCTACACGTAGGGTTGTTTATGGTTATGGTTAAAAATCAAATCGAATCACAATTCGAATTAAACTGATAAAAAAAACTGATATTTGGTTGGATTTGGTTAGGTTTGATTTTACATTTTAAAAAATCGTTACTATTTGGTTTGGTTTTGGTTTTACTAAAAAATATCCGCAAAAATAACCAAACCGAACCGATAAATTATATATATACATTTTATAATTATTTATATATCATTCATAAATAATATTTTATTAAATTTTAATTAACTTAAGTTTTTAACTTTATCATTTTCTCAAGCCCAACACTTAAATTTCAGCCCAACTATTAAAACCCTAATTCTAACTCCACCAAAATTTATTATTTAAGTGATTTTTACCTACCCTACCTAACAAATTCACAGTGCAATTTTTTGAAAAAAAGTATACGCAGCTTTCTTCTCTTATTGAAAAATTTGCAGCGCAACTTTTTTTTTTTTTCTTTTTAAAAAAATTTCACAGCAGTCTTCTACTCCTTCTCTTCATCTTCTTCAGTCCTATTGATCTTTTCTTCTCCAACTTCAAATATAAGGAAAAGTGAAGATTGAAGGTAATTTTTTATTTTATATATTTTTTTATTTTAGCTAATTTTAATCTAGAGAGCATGACTTCAAAATTGAGATTTTTTTATAATTCTTTTTTCTATATGAATTTCAGATGAAACAACCAGTAGAGGTTGAAGATTTGGAAGTTCAACCTCAAGTAGAAAATTCTACAACGGATAAAACTCAAGAAAAAGGTAATTTTTCAAAAATTTCTTCTTTGAACAATCCTCTAAATCCTCCAAAGAAACAGAAAAGAATAACTCTGGACAATGGGGGAAGTGGTAGAAAAACCTCTGAAGTTTGGGATCATTTTTCAGAGATTACTAGTAAAGTGGGTGAAGTGAAGGCAAAATGTAAGTACTGTTTCAAAGACTTTAAATGGACTAGTAAGAATGAGACTTCTAATCTTTGGGGACATTTACTTACCAAGTGTACAAAATACCCTTTCAAGTCTTTTGATAAAAAGCAAAGAACTCTTAAACCTATTAAAAGAGGGGGAGCAATAGATTTGGAGAAGGTTGTTTATAATGTCACCGAAGTCAGGAGGGCCATTGCCGAGTTTGTTATAATCGATGAACAACCATTTAGAGTCGTTGAGGGTGAAGGCTTTAAGAGACTAATATCGCTTATTTTGTCAAATTATGAGTTGCTGTCTCGTATTACTGTTGCTAGACAATGCTTAAAAATTTATCAAGAAGAAAAACAAAAGCTTAAAAGACTTGTTAAAGATCAGCGTGTTTGTATTACTAGTGACACATGGACTTCACTCCAAAATTTTACGTATATGGTCATTACTGTCCATTGGATTGATGATGAGTGGAAGTTGCAAAAAAAGATTTTGATTTTTTTTCAAACTCGAGATCACAAAGGTGAGACTATTGCAAAAGCTATTGAATCATGTTTGTTAGATTGGGGAACAATAACACTTGATAATGCAACAACTAATGATGCAACAATCACACACTTAAAAGGGAGAATTAGTGATTGAAAAGGTGTTATCATGGAAAATAATTTTTTACATGTTAGGTGCAATGCCCATATTCTAAATTTGATTGTGAAAGAAGGATTGAGTGATCAAAATAAGTCTATTTCTCGGGTAAGAAATGCTGTGAAATATGTTAAGTCTTCTTGTGCAAGAACTACTTCTTACAAGTCATATGTTGAAAAGGTTAAACTATATACTCATGGACTTTTGAGTTTGGATGTTGAGACGAGGTGGAACTCTAAATATTTGATGTTAAATACTGCTGTCAAATTTGAAAAGGCATTTTCAATGTATATTGATGATTACTTTAAATATTGTCTTGACTCAGGTGGAAAGATAGAGCATCCATCTTCAGAAGACTGGAGAGCTGTGAATGTATTTCTCAAGTTTCTGGAGATTATCTATCAAACCAATTTGAAATTTTCGAGTACGTTACATGTTACTTCAAATACTTTCTTTCATGAGCTTTTTAATTTTCAAAACATAATTGTCAATTATTCAAAGTGTGATGATTCTCTTTTGACTGGTATGGCTAAGAAGATGAAAGGTAAGTTTGATAAATATTAAGGTGATTTTGATGATATGAATATGTTGTTGTTCGTTGCCGTTGTGTTGGATCCTCATTTCAATGACGTATGTGAAGTTTATTTTTAAGAATTATTATAATTTTGTGGAAGGATGTAGTAAATCTATCAAAGCAACATATACTTTAACTGCTTATATAATCATTAAAAAAATTCTATTGTTGGAACTTCTTGTGAAACTATTTGAGATCAGAGTGAAGTTAGTGCAATGGATACTTTTGATGTGTGGCAATCTCAATGGGAGAAATATCTTGAAAAGAAAATAATAATATTGATGATAAATCTAATCTTGACAAGTATTTGGAGAACGATGTAGAGAAGATTAAGGATTTTAATATTTTTAACTTGGTGGAAAGCTTCATCTGAAAGATATCCAATAGTCTCTAGAATTGCAAGAGATATGCTTGTTATTCCTATATCTATTGTTGCTTCGGAATCTATTTTTAGCACTGGTGGTCACATTCTTGATTGTTATCGAAGTTCATTGTCACCAAAGACGGCTGAAGCTCTTGTTTGTAGTCAACAATGGTTACGTTCAACATCTGCAGAATGCAAGATTGAAGATCTTTTACAAGAAATACAAAATCTTGAAATAGTTGAAAAAGATATTATTTTACAACTTACTAGTTATCTTTTTCCATTTCTTTTATTGGTTCTGAAATTTTGATTTGAAAAACTTGAAATAGTTGCAAAAAGTACTATTTTACAGCTTATTAATTCTTTCTTCTAGTTTATTTTGACTCTTAAAATTTGATCCATAATAGAACTTTTTAGAGAAAACGGTCAAATACCCCCTCAACCTATTACCCGATTCTTAACTACACACTTATACTTTACGGGGGTCCTATTACCCCCCTAAAGTATTTTAAACATAAATATTGATACACTTAAAACGTCACCCCCAAATCTTTGTTGCAGAGTGTAATACACGCACCTATTTTTCAGAATTAATTTTTTTTTTAAAAAATCATCACCAAAATACAACAAGTTTGATGCTTTTCATTTTTTCTTCGCCATTCTATTCATCTTCCTAAATCATCTCATTTTTTCTCCATTGTTTCCAAATTTCTCATCTCCTCCAATCCACCTCCATCTCCATCACACACATCATCCTCCGTCTTTCTTCTATCTTTTCGATTATTTATTTACACAAAATCTAGTTGTCATTGTTGAATTCAATAAATTGACATGAATGTTGAATCTTTTTATCATGTATCTTACTGCCATTATGGTTCTCCAGTTGTTGTTTTTTTTTTGATGAATTTGAAGATGAAAATTTGCTTGCCCAATTTCAAATTCTAATACCCACTTTCAATTCCAATCAAGAAACTCACAAATTTCAAATTCTAATACCCACTTTCAGTTCCAATCAAGAAACTCAGGTTGCTACTATAATCGAAAAGATTTCTATAGCAGAAGCTGTAATATCATTTTTCAATATCGGATTGAAAGTATTTTCCATTGAGGTGAAATAAATTAAAGGATCATCATTTTCTTTCTTTTGGTTATGTTGTCTATTCTTAAGAAAGATTTGAAGGTGATGGTCATGAAAACGTTCATTATGGACTAAAAGTGAAAAAAATGAAAAAATAAAATATTGTATTACCATAGCAGCCATTGCAAAATTCAGTTGCAGAAGTGTAATTTTTTAAGGAAGTAATGGTTAGAGAGAGAGAGAATGTGATTGTAATTAATTAAATTTATTTATTAATTATATTGAATTCAATTAAGAAATGACAGTTGTCCAATCATTTAATTTTGACTAATTTATTTGCCTTACACTTGCTTTCAGGAAAGTTAACACACTTGTTGTGCCACATCAGCACTTAAGGGTGTCAATATCTCTGTTTAAAATACTTCAAGGGGGTAATAGGACCTCCGTAAAGTATCGGTGTGTAGTTTAGAATTGAGTAATAGGTTGAGGGGTATTTGACCGTTTTCTCAACTTTTTACTTATCTCTTATTGTCTTTTCTAAAGAAAAAAAAGTTGGATCATATTTATGTTAGTAAATATTACCTAATATAGTGTATTTTTTTTTGCAGAATATTCAGACACTACTTTGAGCATTGAGTAATTTAGAGCTCAAGCTAAGCTAAAGAAGATGGTAATTGATCAGTTTGGAGCATAGATTTTTTTTTTTTGATTTATTAGGAAAAATTCTCAGTTGCCATAAGCCCACAACATCCAAGACAACTCTGCTAGACTACTAGTATTGATTTTCCACTACATATATAAATTGCTTTCTCTTTTTAGAAATAAGTCTTCTAACAACTTAATGAGTTTTTTTAGTCCTCTTTCAATTGTTTTATGACTAGCATTGCTTAATTAAATTCACAATAGTTTTTCTATGGATTGTTTATGTACTATGTATTTGTGTCTAATGCATATGCCCTCTATAAACTATATACTTTCAAACCGAAATAACTAAAAAAATTGAACCAAACCGAACCAAACCAACAATAACCAAATCGACGGTTATTTTTTTGATTTGGTTTGGTTTGATTTTAGAAATTTAAAAACCGATTAATTTTAGTTTGATTTTAATTTTAACCAATAACCGATCCAAACCGAACCATGAAAAAAATTGAACCAAACCGA